CACGAATTGCTAAATTTCAGAAGGGGCGAAGCATATTATTCGCCGCAATTCAATTAAATATCAGAAGAAAATAAAATATTTGGTTATGAAAATAGCTTTAAAGTAGAAAAAAATAGACCTTTTAAAAAATTTACCAATTTAATTTGACTTCATTCTCACGAATGTCTAAATTTCGAAAGGGACTAATCAAACTATTCGCTCCCTCAATTAAATTTCAGAAGAAAATAATGTTATTTTTAAAAAAAATAATTTAAATTTGAAAAAGAGTTCCTTTTTTTAAAAAAATTACCAACTTAACTTTATTTTCAAGAATGGCTAATTAATGAAGGGGCGAAGTACATTATTCGCCCCCTCAATTTAAATTCACAGTAAAATAAAGGTTTTAATTTCAAAAATAGCTTTAAAGTAGAAAAAAAAAAGTTCTTTTTTTTTCTAAAGTTATCAATTTAACTAGGCATTATTTTCACGAATGGCTAAATTTCAGAAGGGACGAAGCACATTGTTCACCCTTCAATTAAATTTCAGAAAAAAAGTTTTTTACTTAGAAAATCGCTTAAAAGTTGAGAAAAAGGGAGTTCTTTCTCTAGGTTTACTAATTTAAATTGACTTCATTTTTGTGAATGCCTGAATTTCGGAAGGGACGAAAAGCATTATTCGCCTTTTTATTAAATATCACAGGAAAATAAAGTTCTCTTTTTGAAAAATAGCTTCAAAGTTGAAAAAAAAGAGCCTTACCTTTATATTTATTATAACCTCTTACTTTAATTTCAGAGGAAAATAACTTCGAAGTTCAATGAAAAAGTTTTTTTTTCCCATCAAACTTTACTTTTTTACTATTTTTAATCGTAATTTTTCTTGATTTTATTTTCTCGACTGTTTAAATTTCAGGAGGGGCGAAACATATTGTTTGCCCCCTAACTAAAATTTCAGAGGGGGTGACGTCCCCCTCTACCCCCCCCCCCTCGGCTGGCATGCCACTGTATATTATAGTATAAATTTTAATCATCGCACTAATTAAATAAATACTAAAGAACGTGGAAAAGCATATATAATAGTTCAAAGACCAACATGCTATAATTTCAGTTCAATTTCTATAGTTACCTATAATTTCTTTTTATTCTATTTTATTAAAAACTGATAAAGCTTCTTCATTATAGAACCAGAACTATAGTTGAATTCCAAGTGTAACAGAGGGGAAACCACAAAAGTATTTTATTCTAAAAAATATATTAAATATTTCTGAAAACAAAAATTTTACTAAAATATGCTACTTTAAGGTGCAATGTTTAATTAATTAGCATAAGTTGAAATTGTTGAAATTTAATTAAAGGTACTTGTAACAGAGGGGACATTTTTGACATGCACGTGCACTGTTATTTATGTTAAATTCTGTGATTTGAACCATCCTAAACATTATCTGTAATTTTTTTTTAAAATTGTCATACGACTTTTAAAACTCCTACCCCCCTTTTTTTAAGTCCAAATCTGTGATTTGGACCATCCTAAACATTATCTGTAATTTTTTTTAAAATTGTCATAAGACTTTTAAAACTCCAAGCCCCCTTTTTTTAAGTCCAAATAATGTATCGTAACGGAGAGGACATCTTATGAATCAGAGGGGAGGTCTTTGAAAAAAAGGGAAATATCACTGCTAAAAGTGACTCTTCGGTTGTTTAAAGTTGGAGTTGGCAGCACTGCTATACTTGAAATCCGTGATACATCTTAGTAGTTATATTTGAAAGTTTTTATTTTACCAGACCCTGTTTAAAACAAGAGCATTGTTTGTTTCTTTCTCAATTTCAGTTATTTGGGCAACAAAACTAACTACCCAATTTTTCCCTAGAATTTTTTACACTTGCAAAATTTTATAGCGCAACATCAAAAGCATCTCAGTGTTTTAAATGGTGGTTTGTGTACATTAAATATGCCAGGTTCCAAAGTCCACCAAGTTCCCTAAATAATTCAATACCTCTGAGGGTACTGATCGAGGAGATCCCTTGTCTTTTGGATTGGGTTCAAAATTACAAGGCTACGGAGTTGAACATTGGTAGCTGTAAACTCAAATTTGGGTCGACTGTTTAATGACAGTTATAAAATGAGAAGTCAATTGAGCGATTGTTGCAAGTCGCTATATTTAGTAATTCTATGTAATTATTAGGCAAGCAACTGTGATTTTAATAGAGAATTCACATTTTCGTCAATAGCACATACACAATGGTGTTTTACCTACGCATAAAATATGGATAGGTCGTAGTACAGGAAAACTTAGAATTACCAATTTTTATGTTTGGATGCATCTGCCTTGATACTTGATATGCTTCCATCAAGGTGCACATTTAACTTTGTGGACTTTCTGTCCATTTTCTTTGAAAATCATGCACTCAGCTCTACCAGAAGTCTGGTAACTAAGTTTATCAGATGAGTTGAAATTTATTACAAGTTTTTTTGTTGTTTCATCAGAAACTTTGTTACTGGGCTATTTCTTTTGTTTTGGTAGTAAGGTTACAGAGTATGCATAGAACAGTACAACATTTTAATTGAGAATGCACGGTTTGCTTTCTTAATAGCTTTCCCCAATGCCTAAAGAATATTATAAAGAGGAATATATCGTTCCTGTATTTCTACTGCTTATATCAGTACCTTTTTCTTTTTGATTTGTCTTTCTTTTTTTTTTCCCCTCAAAATACTTCTGTTATCATAAATTTTCGTTTTATATTCCTTATCTTTCTTCTTACAAATATCTTCTTCTTTTTTTTTTAACATTCTAGTTCTATATTCCTCATTCTTTCTGCTGCTGCTATTCTCACTAAACACACTATTAAATAAAAATGACAGAGCTTTGTATAAAAGGTGTGCTCTAATACTGGAGGAACTGGTTTAAACTAGTTGAATCAAGATGCATTAGCACTTGTTTTCATTCCTAGAGTTTCGTTCTAATGGTCAACCTATCAATTTAATGCAACTGAGCGGACATAAGTTTTGTCCTCTCTGTTACATCCCCTCTGTTATATGAGAAACTTAAAAATTAAAAAAAAAATGTTTTCTCAAAAATATAACATAACATAATTGTACTAATAGATTTTATTGTAAAAACCAAATATTAAGTTAAAAAGTTTTTTTGTGTAATGAATAAAATAAACTTAATAGAATAATTGTAACAGAGGGGGCAGCATATAATAGAATAATTGTAACAGAAGGGACAGCATGAAAAAAAAGTTTTTTTGACGGTAAGCACTGCATAATTGCACTCGGGAACAATTTATTTTACAATATAAATTAAACTACAGTGAAACCAAACCTCCTGTTGTGGACATTCCTGCAAAACGGACGCCTCTCAATACGGGCATGTTTTTAATTCCCCAGGAATCTTCGATGAATGAACCATTATTTATATTCTCTGCAAAGCGGACACTCCCGAAACCGTACGCAGACAGTCATTTTGGCCCTGAAGTGTTATTTTCTATCTCTTCAAACTGGAAACTACTTTTTCTAAATTTTAGGGGAAAAAAACTATTTCTGCTTTAAATTGCATGGGGAAAAAATGCAACTTTTCACCATTTTTAAAACAAGCAATTTTTTTGTCTTATCCTCTTATCCATGACTAAAAATATTGTTAAGCTATTTCACTACTGAAGAATCAATCTTTCTCCTTTCACGTAGCCTTATCTTTGTAAAGAAAGGAGATACTGCTCTCCTGAAATAATTCGGACAGCAACATCTTTTCATCTGGACCATGCTGGTTATGAGACCCCTCAAGTTAAAATGACATCTTAAATGCTCTCAATGCTTCTTCCCCATTGAAAATTTCTTATTGATTTGAAGACTGTGTTAAAAAAGAGAGCAGTAATATGTGTTCATATAAATGAAACACTTATTCAGACACTTTACAGCTGATCAATTGTGAATAATCAACTCCATAGGTCCTCGTGACTTAACTGTGAATTGTGGGAGGTTTACTTTCAAGAAGGTATTAGCCAGGGGGGGGGGGAACGTAATTTTAAACAATTCAGTCAAAATGGAAAATAAATCCAAATTGCTGAAGTACGAAAATGAAGAAACTAATTCTAATCTAATAATTCTGTTAAAGTGCAAAATAAATCTAATTCAGAGTAGTATGGAAATAAAAACTGTTCTAAATTACTCGGTTAAAATGCTAAATGCATCCGAATCGCAGAAGAATGGGGGGGAAAGTATTCTTATCTAATAATTCAATTAAACGCAAATCGCTGAAATACAAAGAGAAAAAAATGGTTATAATCTATTAATTCAAATTGGACACAAATTAAAACAAAATCGCTGAAGTATAAAAACGGAAGAAAAGGTGAGGGTGTTTCAAAATTAATTGAGAAATCGATTAAAATTTAGTATATTTCTATAACTACAAATACGGGAGAAGCTAGATAACAGGGACCAATGTTGAAAATAATGAAAGATCAAGGTAGAGAAGTGAAACTGATTTTATTTCAAAATGGCGCAAGACGAAACTTTGTCCAAAATGCGTGAGATTCGCACATTTTGAAATCGATTAATAGAGAGAGCTAATTTTGCGCAGTATTAATTTTTTAATGCGAGAAAAGAAAAAAAAATTGAGAGATTCTCCAGCTGTAGGGAAAACACTGCTATAATCATGCATAACTCCAAAAAAATAACTCTTGAATTCATAAATTACAACAAATTTCCTTTAAAAAGGTACCAAATACAAGGATATTGCTTAAACTTTAAAAATTCACTACTAGTTTCAGTTGGTATGGAATTCAACTATAGTATGTTGGTTTATGTGGTATTAGGTATTATTTCTGCTTTCTTCCCATTCCTTAGCTTTATCCAAGCAGAAGCATAGAACAAAGTTAGCATTTTCTTCGCCTGTGCATTATATAAATTTTTTTTAAGTATTGAAGTTTATTACATCATTATCAGTAACATCATTCTCAACCAATGAGAACAAGCATTGCATAACTTTTTTTTAACATGCGTTCAATAAAGTTCTTTTTCTGTTGTAGGTCACAGATCACTGCCATGTAACACGGATATTTCGTGGGGCAAGCTGCAACAAGTGCAATATGCAAATTACAGTGCCAAATTTCATCCCCGTCATTTTTCACAATTTTTCCGGCTATGACAGTCATCTTTTTATTAGGGAACTAGGAAAAAACGGAGACAATATCAATGCTATTGCTGAAAACACCGAAAAATATATTTCCTTTTCTGAGTATGTTTCAGGAAAAATTTACCTTCGTTTTATCGACTCTTCCCGTTTCATGGCCAGCAGTTTGGATCAGCTCGCAAGAAATCTAACTCGTAATCAATTTGTCAACATGAAGAAGTTTTTCTCACGACCACAAGTGCCTCTAGTACTCCGTAAAGGAGTATATCCATACGATTACATTGATCATGAAAATAAATTTAAAGAAACGACATTACCTCCACCAAGTGCTTTCCATTCCAAATTAAATGACTGCCCAATTTCTAATGAAGATTACGAAAATGCAAAAAAAGTTTGGCAAACTTTTAAGATGTCTTCACTTGGAGAATACTCAGATCTTTATGTAAAAACGGATGCTTTGCTCCTGGCTGATGTGTTTGAAAATTTTAGAGATGTATGCATGAGACATTATAATTTGGATCCAGCCTGGTACTTCACGGCACCAGGATTATCATGGGATGCAATGCTTAAGAAAACTAAGATTTCCATAGAGCTTCTCACTGACTATGATATGATTCTTTTCATAGAAAATGGTATTCGTGGTGGTATTTCACAATGCTCTCACCGCTATGGATCTGCGAACAATAAGTATATGGAAGCCTATGATTCATCGAAGCCATCTAATTATTTATTGTACTTAGATGCAAACAACTTATACGGTTGGGCCATGTCTCAGCCATTACCCCTTCAAGATTTTAAATGGGTAGAACCACCAACGGATGTGTTATCCATTTCGGATGATGGTCCACTTGGTTTCATCTTTGAGGTGGACTTAGATTACCCCAAAGATCTTCATGACCAACATTCTGATCTTCCTCTTGCACCAGAAACCAGGATTCCACCTGGGTGCAAAGATAAAAGACTGCTCACAACTCTTTACCATAAGGAAAAGTACGTTCTTCACTATCGTAATTTAAAGTTCTACTTAGAACAAGGATTAATATTAAAAAAGGTTCATAGAGTTCTCCAGTTCAATCAGTCCCCATGGTTGAAGAATTACATTGATTTGAACACTGACCTCCGGACAGATGCCGCTAATGAATTTGAAAAATCTTTTTTTAAACTAATGAACAATGCCGTTTTCGGCAAAACATTGGAAAACATCCGTAAACATGTAAACATCAAGCTATGCAGTTCTGAAAAGAAGGCAGAGAAATTAATTTCTCGGTACAATTTTCGTGACAGGACCATCCTTACTGAACAACTAATAGCGATCCACATGAGAAAAACTGAAATTACATTTAATAAACCTATCAGCATCGGAATGGCTGTACTGGACATTTCAAAAATCCTTATGTATAAGTTTCATTATACGAAAATGAAAACGAAGTATGAAGAGAAAATTAAATTACTCTATACTGATACTGATAGTTTCATTTATGACATCACTACTGAAGATGTCTATTCAGATATGAATGAAGATTTGGATAGTTTCGATACTAGTGATTATCCTGAGGATAATATTTATGGTACTCCTCGAAAAAATAAAAAAGTTTTGGGAGTTATGAAAGATGAGAATAATGGAGAGATCATGATTGAATTCATAGGTTTAAGATCCAAAATGTATGCTTTTAAAGTCAAGGAACAGGTAACCAAGAAACTGAAAGGTATTAAGAAAGCAACAATTGAAAAAAGGATTGAGTTCGAAGATTATAAAAAATGCCTTTTTGAGAATCAAGAACTTCATACCACAATGAATACAATTCAATCCAAGAGACATGAGTTAACGTCAGTAACAATTAATAAATTAGCTTTATCACCTTATGATCATAAACGCTATGTTTTAGATGATAAAGTAAGCACAGTTCCTTTTGGACATTATTTATTTCCAGAAAGTTGAGAATGACTAAGGGAAAATTATAAATCGATCGAAAAATAATTCTTTTTTGAGTGGATCTCTTACGATGGTGTTATTAAGAGCAACTGACATTTATTTGAGACCATCTCCTTAAACATAACAGTTTGGAAAAAAAACATTCGGATAAGAAAGCACCATTGCATAAATTGAATGAATTAATTTTATTTTTTTTCCTCTTAAATGTCATATATGAAATCCCTTTCAATATACAGGGTGTCTCAGTTAAACGTTTCAGAACTCCTAAGAGGGGTAGGGTGCATCCTGACGACTCGGAATCATATAGCAATGCGGGGTCAGAAATGCCTTCCTGAAGCGGGGATGTACACTGAAGCACCTTAAAGAAAAGACCGTAAGTGAAAAATCGTTTTAATAATACATTACCACCCTACCCCTCTTAGGAGTTCTGAAACGTTTAACTGAGACAACCTGTATTTATTTCTCCATTAAAATTGTATAATTAAAACAAAACTTTAAGAAATCTGCTAAGTATGCTCACAGAAATGCAAATTGGAAACCTAAAAAATAAATAAATGATTCTTCATTGTTTTAAATCTTTTGACATTAATGTTGTCGTTAAAGTTATAATTATTTTCTCTCTGGTAAAAATAATTTTTTTTAAGCAACCACACATGCATAAAGAAGAACATACAATTATTTAGTTCCTCGACAGATGGCAGCATTACATTACTTCATTCGCTCGATGGTTCACTCCAGGACAAACAAATCCCATCTGGGCACTATGAGGATTAGTGCGAAAGTTGACGTTGATAGGGGTTGAACCAGTGGTCGGGGTATACTTCTTTTCGATGGTAGAACATCCAACTACTACAAATCCGAAGGTCCCTGGTTCAATCCCAGTCAGCGCCAACCAACACCTCATCCGCACTCCTCCAACAGGGTGACACAGACGCGATTTGTTTGTCGTGTCAAAGTTAACCATGGAACGAAACGAAATACTCTAGTGCTGCCATCTGCTAATACTGTACTCAGTTGATGAGAAGAATAAAATAATTAACTATTAATTAAAATATTAATAACTGTATAATAATATTATATTAACAAATAAGGCGCAAAAAAATATATATATATATTTTTGTTTGATGATAAATTATTGATTATAAGTTACACCCTTGTGCAAATTAATTGAAACAAACTCAATAAATTCAGAAAACTAACAGAAAACTAAGAGAAAATGCTATTTTATTTAAATTTATACAAACTCAAAAATTTATAGTACATAATATGATCTCCACGACGCTTTATTAACATTTGGACACGATTCGGCATGGATTCCACTAATTTTTTACAGTCATTTATAATATTTGTGTCCTTGTACCACACATGAATTAACGCCGTGATTAGCTTCTCCATAGTTGTACAGTCCATATTTAATAGGCGATTCTTGCATATGGCCCAGAGATTCTCAATTGGGTTGATATCCGGAGAGTTCCCTGGCCATTCCAATGTCTCAATTTGATTCTTAGACATGAATTTCTTGACAATTTTGGACGTATGGCAAGGAGCTAAATCCTGTTGAAAAATCCCTGTTCCATCAGGGTATCGTTTCTTCAACTCTGGAACAACTTTTTTTCCCAGAATAGTAATGTACTGCTCAGAACGCATCATACTGTCAATAGGCTGCAAAGGTCCAACCCCATTGTAACCGAAACAACCCCAAAACATCTTCTTTAAAAAACACGAAAAAAAAAGTTTGTTTCAATTAATTTGCACAAGGGTGTAAAAGAGCATGTAAAGCATCCCCAAAATGAATGATTATACCTTTATTTAAAAAAATGCGCAGGCCACGGGATTGCGGGTACTATAATTACGAAGATAAGACATCCTCAAGAAATCCTAATAATTAATCCTGTTTTCGTACTCTGTCTGCTGCGCACTCTCCTTTCAGTGAAGGCGAAAGTTTAACTTGCTATTGGCAGTAAATAAAAAAGACTTCAAGCTTTTAAATTTCTATCCATAAAACTAATATCTTTCAAGAATCTCAATCCTGTTTTCGTATTCTCAAATCCTATCTCATAATAACTAAATTGCAAGCACATTAAAAACTTTAGTTCATTGTATTTAAAAAAAAATCATATCATTGCAATTAAAATTAACTCATACATTTTTTTTTGTTGATATTTTAAGAAAAAACATTAATTTTCAAAACCAATAAAATCATGACAGAAAACGGCAAAAATGGAGCGTAAAAATAAAAACATTAAATTCAAAGCCTATTCATAATTTTTGACATGGTGGGTTATATTTATGATTTAGTTTTAATGGTAGAGAAAACTTTTTAAAATTGTTTTCTCAAAAACATAAATATTTTTAACTATAAAAGTATTGCAGTTAATCAAAAGGTAAAAATTAAACTTAACTACATCTATCTGGGCATCAAAATTGAAAATACAGAAAACTTGAATAAAATTAAAATGTATAGAGCTATAAACTTTATTTTTAAATATTAATTATATTTTTATTTATTAAAATGCATAACTCATTAATTATATTTTTAAAACTTTTAATTATATTATTAAATTAGTAATCATTTCACAGTCAGAAACTATGCTTTTCTTTAAAAGTAAGTCAAGATGACAGAACCTCAAAAATAAAATTCAGTTTCATTTTCACCTTTTCGCTTCTAAACGAAAAAAAAAAAAAAAAAAACGATAAACTATCTGAATTATTTTTAAGGTGCTGTCATTCATGCTTTTTCTTCAAAAGTAAGTCTAGATAGCAGCACCTCAAAAGTAAAATTCAGTTTTATTTACACCTTTTCGCTTCTAATCGTCAAAAGAAAACGAAAAACTATCTGAATTATTTTTAAAGTGCTGTCATCCATGGTTTTCTTTAAAAGTAAGTAGGAAAAGTAAGTCTAGATGGCAGCACCTCAAAAGTAAAATTCAGTTTCATTTTCACCCTTTCGCTTCTAAACGCAAAAGAAAACGAAAAACTATCTGAATTATTTTTAAGGTGCTGTCGTCTAGGTGAGGCTAATCTTTTCTATTTACCTTGAATAGTAGTAGATAGGATTTGAGAATACGAAAACAGGATTGAGGATCGAGATTTTTGAAAAATATTAGTTTTATGGATAGAAATTTAAAAGGTTGAAGTTTTTTTTTTTTTTTTACTGCCAATAGCAAGTTAGACTTTCGCCTTCACTGGAAGGAGTGTACAGCAGACAGAATACGAAAACAGGATTAATTATTAGGATTTCTTGAGGATGTCTTATTTTCGTAACTATAGTACCCGCAATCCCGTGGCCTGCACATTTTTTTTAAATAAAGGTATAATAATTTATTTTGGGGATGCTTTCCACGCTCATTCAACTTATAATCAATAATTTATCATCAAGAAAAATAATTTTTTTTTTTGCGTCCTATTTGTTAATATTATTTATTATACAGTGTATCTTGTATGTTAATAGACGTCTTCGTGCCATCCAATTTTTTGCAATTTAATTATTTTATTGTTATTAATGTTAATTATATTATTGCAATTTAATTATTTATTAACACCCACTTTATTTTCCTTAACCCTTATTTTTCGACTGTTTGTATCACCAATAAATTTCAAATTGTATCAAATTTACGATGGGTAAAGAATCTTTGAACAAACACTTTATGAGGTATGAGTTTTTATTTTCTTTTTTTTTAAAAAAAAAGATTTTAGATTTCCCTAATACAGAAACTTGCTCAGCAGATAGACTTTAAAGTGCTTTGTCTCATAGATAATGATTTTATGTTTTATTCTTAATTAAATCCCGAAGGAATGTTTTCTATTTAAGTTAAAGCTTTGAAGTAAACTTTTTATAATACACTCATTTAATTAATTAATTCCCCAAGGAATTTTTTCTATTTAAGTTTAAGCCTTGAAGCAAACTTTTTTATAATACACTTATTTAAAGTGTGCATGGAATAAGCATTTTATGAGGTATTACAATTTTTACAGCATGTTTACATATACGTAACAGGATTTTTTAACCTTTTTTTTCTACTTTCCTACAAAATAGTCTATAAAAAAAATATTCTATTTCCTATATCAACAAATGAATGCACCAACTTGTTAAGATTCTTATTGGAAGCACTAAGAAAAAATTTTATTAAAGTATGTTAAAATAAAAAAGCCTTAAGAATTTAAAAATTTTGAATTTCTTCAATAATTTTTAAAATTTAAAAAAAAATTTAATAGTTTAATTATAGTAGTGGTAGTAGATAGGTTTTGAGAATACGAAAACAGGATTGTAGTAGATAAGGAAACATGGAGCGCCTTATCGATTACCATAGCCTTGTAACTATAGTAACCGCAATCATGCAAACCTGGTATCTGATGTCGTGATATAGGGGTAATGAAATTATGTGCTTTATCGAATGCCTTATCTTTGTAACTATAACGACCGGCATCACGCCATCTGGCATCTGGCTCCGTGATATCCGGGAAATATTTGCATGTCGTGTTGTTATCAGTGACATCATTTTCAACTAATAAGAATGAGCATTGCATAACCACGCGCAATGCATTCTGGGTATTCGTAAGCGATATTAAAGTAGATTCATTTTGTCAGAGAATTACATTTGATAGCAGGATAGTAGGAAGTTCTCTCTCTCTCTCTCTCTCTCTCTCTCTAAAGGAAAATTTTTATCGATCGTTTGGTCTTCTTTGTTATAATTTTTGTTGAATTTTCTCGTTAAGTTTTGTCAGTTATGGTAGTTAAAGTTTTTCATTTAATTGATTGACATTTGGTGTAACTGATTTAAGTTGAAATCATTCGTTATGGATGAAAAAAATTTTACTTGCAAACACTGCTGCTCTTCCTTTTCTTCAAAATCTAACTTGTCACGCCATATACGCACAAAACACGACAATGAAACTCATAAGCGGAAATCAACTTCAAGTATTTCATCATCGCCTAAAAAACATAAGAAGAATGGAGCCAATCAAGACTCTTCAGAGCTGTCGAGTGGACCATCGACAAGTACTGCTTCTGATTCGCCTTGCACATCTGCTGGGAAAGCAATTGTTTCAACTGAGAAAACGACATCTACCCACTTCCATGCAAAAGTTAAATCCGCTTTAAACGGCAGAGTGAAAACACTCTACTTAACGAACGAAAATAACTTTTTGGATATGAAAGAATTTCTTTTATCCAATCAACAAAAATTTAACGATGAGGTGACAAAGGAGCGGCAAATCCAAGATTTGAAAGTGAATTGTAGATTAACGGGTCTTTACAAGAAAGTTACAAATGATAAAATAGTGCGCGAGGATAAGAATTTTAAAACTAAAAACACTCCAATTTTACTATCAACTGATTTAGAAGAGTTTTATTCAAGTATTATGAGCAAACTGTTGACTGAAGCAGAAGACTTTGAAAAGAAGGATTCGGGCTGGTCATTGGATGAAATCATCGCATTTGAAATCCGCATCAATAAATATGATCCTTTACGGGCTTCAGGATTCATTCCGCTTCCACCTGTTATTTCTAAGAGACTGGCAGTTGTTAATGTTAAAAACAATGATAATGAATGCTTCAAGTGGGCAATTCTTTCCGCACTTCATCCCAAGCAAACAAATCCGTGTAGAATGTCTAACTACAAATCGTTTGCAAACACATTGAATTTTTCGAACATTCCCTTCCCCGTTAAACTTCAAGACGTGAAAAAGTTCGAAAAGTTGAACGAAATCTCAATTAATGTGTATGGACTGACAGAAAAAAATTCAGTGTTTCCTTTAATTATCACAGAAGAAGAAAAAACTCAGCATGTTGATCTTTTATTTTTGAAAACTGAAACTGACTCTCATTTCTCCTGGATAAAAAACCTCTCACGGCTGTTGTCTCCTCAGTATTCTCAACATCACGGAAGAAAGTTTATTTGCCGAAGGTGTTTGCAGTTTTTTACATCAGATGCGATACTTACACGCCATAAAATAAGCTGCAATCAGCACGAAACTGTACGCGTGAAAATGCCGACTGATAAATGGCTCAGGTTTAAAAACGTAAAGCATACTCAGCCTGTTCCCTTTGTAATATATGCGGATTTTGAGAGCTTACTGAAACCCATAGACTCTTGTGGGCCGTCTTCAGGTGCGTCGTTTACAGAAAAATATCAAAAACATGAACCCATCAGTTTTTGTTATTATGTTTGTGGCATTGCTGGACTTAGTAAACCACCTTATGTTTATCGTGGAAAAGATGCAGCGAAAATATTTATGGAGAAAATGAGGGAGGAAGCACTTATCATCCATGAAAAATATAATAATCCGCTGCCAATGAAATCATTAACTGAAAAACAAACCCAGCAGTATGAGTCAGCAACTAATTGTTATGTGTGTGATAGTGAATTTTCTGTGGAAAATTACAAGGTATGTAACTATATTAATTATTTTAAAATTTTTTAAAAATTAATATTTTACCTTCATGTGAATCCCATTCCTAGAATTCTGAAACGATTTACAGTGCATTATTATGCTCTCATAAGGGTTAAACGGTATAATTTTTTAATAGTGTAATATAGTATAAATTTGTGTATATGTTCTAATATACATTTTAATCATCACACTAATTAAATAAAAACTAAAAAACGTAGAAAAGCATATATAATACCACAAAGACCAACATGCTTCAATAATAATAATTCAAATAAAATTAAAATAATCAATAATAATAACAACAACTTCAAACAAAATAATAATAATTAAATATTTCAGTTCGATTTCTATAATTATCATTTCTTTTTATTCTATTTCATTAAAAACTGATGAAGGTTCTTCATTATAGAACCGACACTATAGTATGTTGGTTTATGTGGTATTATTTATGCTTTCTTTCCATTTTATCCTTACAGAAGCATAGAACGAAGTCAGCGTTTTCTTTGCCATTATATCAATTATTTTTAACTATTGAAGTTTATAAATATTACGCGAATGTATATCGTTTTTGTAGAAATTTTTCACATAATTAGTACCTACTCTTATTCAGAGTATAAAATTATATTGTAGGGTTAAGAAATTAGTGAAAAAATTATACTTGTATAAAGACAAGATAACAACATTTCAGTAGTTAAATTTTCAAAATGTTCTCATAAAATTTGTCATCATTTCCAAAAGGGTCTGAGAATACGAAAAAATTAGTATCTGATTTTTGAGACTACCTTATCTTTGTAACTATAGTAACCGCCAAATCGCGTCGCGATAGCCTCGTAATATCCGGACAACATCGATTGCCTTATCGTATGCTATATCTTTGTCACTATAATAACCGCCATCACACAAGTCTGATATTTGGTGTCGTTATGTAACGAAAATTTCATCACGTGCCTCATCGTATGCTTAATCTTTGTAACTATAATGACCGCCATCACGCGGAAGTCTGGCATCTGTTGTCGTAATGGCCTCTTGATTTCGGGACAATATATCAATATCACATCATTATCAGTAACATAATTTTCAACCAATAAGAACAAAAATCACATAACTTTTTAACATGCATTAAATAAAGTTTTTTTTCTGTTGTAGGTCAAAGATCACTGCCATGTAACACAGGAATTTCGCGGGGCAAGTTGCAACAACTGCAATATGCAAACTAAAGTGCCAAATTTCATCCCCGTCATTTTTCACAATTTATCCGGCTATGACAGTCATCTTTTTATTAAAGAACTAGGAAAAAATGAAGAAAATATCAATGTTATTCCGGAAAATACTGAGAAATATATTTCTTTTTCAGAGTATGTTTCAGGAAAAATTTTCCTTCGTTTTATAGACTCTTACCGTTTCATGGCGAGCAGTTTGGATCAGCTCGCAAGAAATCTTACTCCTGATCAATTCCTCAACATGAATAAGTTTTTCTCATCATCAGAAGTACCTCTAGTACTCCGTAAAGGAGTATATCCATACGATTACATTGATCATGAAAGTAAATTTGAAGAAACAACATTACCACCACAGAGGGCTTTCTATTCCAAATTAAATGACTGCTCAATTTCTAATGAAGATTATAAACATGCAGAAGAAGTTTGGCAAATTTTTAAGATGTCTTCACTTGGTGAATACTCAGACCTCTATGTAAAAACGGATGTTTTGCTCCTGGCTGATGTGTTTGAAAATTTTAGAGATGTATGCATGAGACATTATAATTTGGATCCGGCCTGGTACTTCACGGCACCAGGATTATCATGGGATGCAATGCTTAAGAAAACTAATATTTCCATAGAGCTTCTCACTGACTATGATATGATTCTTTTCATAGAAAGTGGTATTCGTGGTGGCATTTCGCAATGTTCTCACCGCTATGGATCTGCGAACAATAAGTATATGGAAGCCTATGATTCATCGAAGTCCTCTAATTATTTATTGTACTTAGATGCAAACAACTTATACGGTTGGGCCATGTCTCAGCCATTACCCCTTCAAGATTTTAAATGGGTAGAACCACCAACGGATGTGTTATCCATTTCTGACGATGGTCCACTTGGTTTCATCTTTGAGGTGGACTTAGATTACCCCAAAAATCTTCACGACAACCATTCTGATCTTCCTCTTGCACCAGAAACCAAGATTCCACCTGGGTGCAAGGATAAAAGACTGCTCACAACTCTTTACCATAAGGAAAAGTACGTTCTTCACTATCGTAATTTAAAGTTCTACTTACAACAAGGATTAATATTAAGGAAGGTTCATAGAGTTCTTCAGTTCAGTCAGTCCCCATGGTTGAAAAGTTATATTGATTTGAACACTAGCCTCCGAAAAGATGCCACTAATGAATTTGAAAAATCCTTTTTCAAATTAATGAACAATGCCGTTTTCGGCAAAACGATGGAAAATATCCGTAACCGCGTAAACGTCAAGCTCTGCAGTTCTGAAAAGAAGGCAGAGAAATTAATTTCTCGGTGCAATTTTCGTGACAGGACCATCCTTACTGAACAACTAGTAGCGATCCATATGGGAAGAACTGAAATTACATTCAATAAACCTATCAGCATCGGAATGGCTGTACTGGACATTTCAAAAATCCTTATGTATAAGTTTCATTATACGAAAATGAAAACGAAGTATGAAGAGAAAATTAAATTACTCTATACTGATACTGATAGTTTCATTTATGACATCACTACTGAAGATGTCTATTCAGATATGAATGAAGATTTGGATAGTTTCGATACTAGTGATTATCCTGAGGATAATATTTATGGTACTCCTCGAAAAAATAAAAAAGTTTTGGGAGTTATGAAAGATGAGAATAAAGGAGAGATCATGATTGAATTCATAGGATTAAGATCCAAAATGTATGCTTTTAAAGTCAAGGAACAGGTAACCAAGAAACTGAAAGGTATTAAGAAAGCAACAATTGAAAAAAAGATTGAGTTCGAAGACTATAAAAAATGCCTTTTTGAGAATCAAGAGCTTCATACCACAATGAATACAATTCAATCCAAGAGACATGAGTTAACATCAGTAACAATTAATAAATTAGCTTTATCACCTTATGATCATAAACGCTATGTTTTAGATGATAAAGTAAGCACAGTTCCTTTTGGACATTATTTATTTCCAGAATTAAAATAAGAAAGAAAGTTGAGAATGACTAAGGGAAAATTATAAATCGATCGAAAAATAATTCTTTTTTGAGTGGATCTCTTACGATGGTGTTATTAAGAGCAACTGACATTTATTTGAGACCATCTCCTTAAAAATAACAGTTTGGAAAAAAAACATTCGGATAAGAAAGCACCATTGTATAAATTGAATGAATTGTTTTTATTTTTTTTTCTCTTAAATGTCATATATGAAATCCCTTTCAATATATTTATTTCTCCATTAAAATTGTATAATTAAAAAAAAAATTTAAGAAATCTGCGATGTATGCTCACAGAAATGTAAATTGGAAACTCTATAAAATAAATAAATGATTCCTCATTGTTTTAAATCTTTTGTCATTAATGTTGTCGTTAATTATTTTCTCTCCGGTAAAAATATTTTTTTAGGCAACCACACGTGAACAAAGAAGAACATATTTCGTTCCTCGACAGATGGCAGCATTACATTACTTCATTCGCTCGATGGTTTACTCGAGGACAGACAAATCCCATCTGGGCACTATGAGGATTAGTGCGAAAGTTGACGCTGATAGGGATTGAACCAGAGGTCGGGGTGTACTTCTTTTCGATGGTGGTTAGAGCATCCAACTACTACAAACCCGAAGGTCCCTGGCTCAATCCCAGTCAGCGCCAAAGATCGCGTCTTCCGCACTCCTCCACGTTAGTTGATTCGATCCCAACCGTGGCCAACCAACACCTCTTCAGCACTCCTCCAACATGGTGACCCAGACGCGATTTGTTTGTCCTATCAAAGCTAACCGTGGAACGAAACGAAATAGTCTAGTGCTGCCATCTACTAAGCAGTGAGATAGTTACGTGCTCCTCTGCCCTTAGTCACCAATGTAGAGAAATACAGGAGAGATGTTAGCTGGCACCGATTGGGATCGAACCATGGACCTCTGGGTCCGTAGTCGGATGCTCTAACCACCATGGAATGGGGTGTACACCCCAAACCAGAGAGAGCTAACAGGCTTTATATAGTGGTCGCAGCGTACTCTCCTTCCAGTGAAGGCGAAAGTCTAACTTGCTATTGGCAGTAAATAAAAAAACTTCAACCTTTTAAATTTCTATCCATAAAACTAATATTTTTCAAAAATCTCTATTCTCAATCCTGTTTTCGTATTCTCAAATCCTTAAATTTTTTTAAATAAAGGTGTAATCATTCATTTTGTGGATGCTTTACATGCTCATTTAACTTATAATCAATAATTTATCTTCAAAAAATAATTAAACTGTTTAATTTATTCTTTTTTAAATTTTAAAAATTATTGAAGAAATTCAAAATTTTTAAATCTTTAAGGCTTTTTTTTTATTTTACATACTTAAAAAAAATTTATTTTTTTTAATGCTTCTAATAAGATTCTTAACAATTTTGTGCATTCATTTGTTGATATATGAAATAGAATATTTTTTATAGACTATTTTATAAGAAAGTAGAAAAAAAAATGGTTAAAAAATCGTGTTAGGTATAGATAAACATACTGTAAAAATTGTATACTTGTTCCATGCACGCTTTAAATAAGTGTATTATAAAAAAGTTTGCTTCAAAGCTTAAACTTAAATAGAAAAAATTCCTTAAAGAATTAATTAATTAAATAAGTGTATTATAAAAAGTTTACTTCAAAGCTTTAACTTAAATAAAAAACATTCCTTCGGGAAATGAAATTAAGATTAAAACATAAAATTATCATCTATGAGATAAAGCACTTCAAAGTCTATCTGCTAAGCAAGTTTCTGGATTAGGGCAATCTAAAATCTTCAAAAAAAAAAGAAAATCCCCTTTAAAAAAAATAATAAAAACTCATACCTCGCAAAGTGTGTGTTCAAAGATTCTTTACCCATCGTAAATTTGATACAATTTGAAATTTATTGGTGATACAAGCAGTCGAAATATAAGGGTTAAGAAAAATTAAAGAAAAATAAAGTGGGTGATCATGGTGTTCTGGACAGTGAATGATACAGGCAAATGTTACCAAAAAATGAAAGCAAAGTTTGTAACAAATAATCCACATCTTGCCACTAAGGTGACAGAACTTGAAGAAAGTTTAAGAAAAATTTACAATGAGAGAGGCGAAAAATGTGCCAGTAAAAAGCGTGGAAATTTACGTGGTTTATTCTCTTTTAAGATAAATCGCGGTTGCCGAATACTGTACTCAGTTGATGAGAAGAATAAAATAATTAAATTGCAAAAAATTGGGCGGCACGAAGACGTCTATAACAAATAAGATACACTGTATAATAATATTAACAAATAAGACGTAAAGAAAAAAAAAATTTTTTTTTTGATGATAAATTATTGATTATAAGTTGAATGATCATGTAAAGCATCCCCAAAATGAATGATTATACCTTTATTTTAAAAAAATGTGCAGGCCACGGGATTGCGGGTACTATAGTTATGAAGATAAGGCATCCTCAAAAAATCCTAATAATTAATCCTGTTTTCGTACTCTGTCTGCTGCACACTCTCCTTCCAGTGAAGGCGAAAGTCTAACTTGCTATTGGCAGTAAAAAAAAAAAACTTCAACCTTTTAAATTTCTATCCATAAAACTAATATTTTTCACAAATCTCGATCCTCAATCCTGTTTTCGTATTCTCAAATCCTATCTACTACATATTAGAAAGCACTCTATTTTGTGGATATAATCGTGTGAGCTGATGAAAAGATTATTTGTCCTTCTTTTTCGGATTTTTCTCGGACTTCCTTCTTTTTTTTCCGGTTTCCTGTTATTTTTATTTTTGCTTTTTACCCCTTCTTTCATTGCTCTGTAATTTTTCCCTTGTTTTCCCTCTCTCTCTCTGTATATATATATATATATATATANCATGTTGACATAATGAATGAAAAATAATTTAATAAAAAGTGTAATAAATATCTGAATATATACAGGGTGTCTCAGTTAAACGTTTCAGAACTCCTAAGAGGGGTAGAGTGCATCCTGACGACTCGAAATCATATAGCAATGCGGGGTCGGAAATGCTTTCCAGGCGCGGTAGATTGCGTTGTACGAAAGTTCCGAGCTTTCCAGTGCGTTGGCCTCCTCGGTCACCCGACCTATCATGTCCTGATTTTTATTTCTGGGGTCATATGAAAACACTGGTTTATGACACCCCTGTTGACAGTGCTGAGGAGCTGGTTGCAAGAATCGCAGTAGCTGCCGGAGAAATTCGAGATATGCCTGGAGTATTGCAGAATGTTCGGATGTCCATGCACCGGATATGTGAGGTGTGCATTGTAGCCGGTGGCAGAAACTTCGAACACTTAGTTTGACCCATGTGCCTTATGCTTCTTTCAATCTATTATTAAAACGATTTTTCACTTACGGTCTCTTTTCTTTATGGTGCTTCTGTGTACGTCACCGCTTCAGGAAAGCATTTCCGACCCCACATTGCTATATGATTTCGAGTTTTCAGGATGCCCCCTACCCCTCTTAGAAGTTCAGAAACGCTTAACTGAGACACCCTGTATATATATGGGTGCTGATTCTTTTTAAACATGACAATTCGGACCAAACAATTTCTTCAAATTTAAAGTTTCAAAATAATCTAAATTTTTTTTGTTTACTTCTTTAGTTTCATTTATTTATACGTTACAGACAGCAGTGTAGTTTATTGGCATTTACTCGAGAAAAAAAAATAAAATAGAAATTCATCAAATCTTGAATGCCAGGAAAATGACATAGTAGCTTAGAAGTTTAAAAAACAGTCATTTTAAGTTAATAGTAAGTAATTCAACTTAAGCCTTTATGTTAGATGGACCATAAATTGCTTTAATTAATTCTTTTTATCCACTGTAGAAAGAATCAAAAAAAATTTTGTTGCTGATATGTACGGAATAAAATTGTGTATAATAATCATTCATTAAATAAATAAATAACTTTGATTGCATCCAACCATATTACAATCATACAAAAACTTAGTATTAGGTTAATATTTGCTTTTTCTCCTCACAGTATTAGCAGTTTAAAAAAAAATTTGATAACACTTCAATGCCCTAGAATACATAAGCCAGGAAAATGACAGCTAGGATAATGAATTAGAAATTAAATTGAACGGGAAAAAAATTAGATATTGATAGATCGTCTCTCTCCTTTTTTAAATATGAAGCATCCATAAAACTAAAACAGACGTTATTTGTTTGTCGTATCCGTGGAGCGAGACGAAAGCTAACCGTGGAGCGAGACGAAAGCTAACCGTGGAGCGAAACGAAATAGTCTAGTGCTGCCATCTACTGAGCAGTGTGATAGTTACGTGCACCCCTGTCCATAGTTACCAATGTGGAGAGATGTTAGCTGGCACTGGTTGGGATCGGACCATGGACCTCTGGGTTCGTAGTCGATTGCTTTAACCACCATAGAATGGGGTGTACACCCTAAAACCAGAGAGGGCTAACAGGCTTTATATAGTGGTCGCTGCATACTCTCCTTCCAGTGAAGGTGAAAGTCTAACTTGCTATTGGCAGTAAATAAAAAAAACTTCAACCTTTTAAGTTTCAATCCATAAAACTTATGTTTCTCATCCCGATCCTTAATCCTGCTTTCATATTCTCAAAACCAATCTTACACTCAGAATAAAAATGAAATCAACATTGTAAAAACAAAGTCTTCAAGACATTGTTATAATGTGTTATCTAAAATTTTGTCACATCTTGCCGATATGCTGACAAATGATCATCATTTTGATATTTCGTGACGTTTGATTTAACCTTCAAAAAGGAATAGTTTTTAACTGCTTCCAGTCCTATCACTCATGCAATGAATGCTGCGCCTCATGCTTGTACTTTGAAACTTCTTAACTTTCTTTGTTTGCTAGCAACTCTCCATGCGTCAAAAAAAGAAGGGAAAAAAAACTCCAACTAACCTTTTCTATTATTACTATCATCATTATTAAAGGAAACAAGTTGGATAATAATTAAATTAAAGCTATCACATGGCCAAAGTCTGAATATTATAGCTGACAAACGATGTACTACAGCATTTAATTCTAAAAATTTTAAACTGCTTTGTATTATTTTTATTATTAGTAGTATTATTAAAAGGAATGAGTCGAAAAATTATTGACATTATAATAACTACAATCAGAGACTACGCAGAGCTCACAGGAATTTTTTTTCTTTTTTTATACACGAATTTTACACCAATTATTTCATTTTAGCACAGTTTTTTAATTCTTATTTGGGAAGATTGTCTGCCAATATTGACAGTATTAAAATGACTAAATTTGTGTAACTTTCTCACAAAAACTATTAAACATTGGGATTAAATTTATACTTTTACATAAACTGATTTGAAAATTTCAACAATATATATTTTTGCCTATTTCTGATAA